ACTGAAAGACCTGCCAGCTGTACTTCTAGTTCATTGTCAGTGTGCAAGTGGGATACTTCTTCCTTGGCCATTTCCTTGTCACCATTGACTAGTCTATTAGAGTATTGACCATTTATAATTTTTAATTTATTATGTCTTGTTGAATGAAAAATGTGAGGTTATACAATGTGTGGAGCTCCTACGCTGTACTGCAGAGGACATGCATCATGTTATGTTTCAAAAAATCTACAAAGTTGTCTCTAAAATAAGAGTGGTCAGAATTTGGACATCACGGTCAGTTTGGTTGGCTACCTGAATGATGTGCCTGAGAAAACTACATGCCTGAGAGGCATCGGCCATCCTATCGAAACTTTGCCTGATGAGGTTAGCCTGAGCAAATGTTATTTGGTTGGTGACCTGAGCCTGAGGAAACTAAATTGAGGTTAGCTGGTTCATAATTACATAGTTAAGGTAGATATTATTTGAATTAAGCGGTATCTCATATCCTAATCTATCGCATATAAGCAAATGTTGTATTTTCAGTTCGTTTGCATCAACCAAGATTAAGAAATAAAATATTCCGACACCTGTCGCATGCATAGCCGTGGGCCCATGACAGAACAAGCTTGATTAGTGCGCTTAATTTGTGTAACTAGCCTGAACCAGGCGCTCGTTTTTGGTGGCCTGAGCCAGGCTAATGAACCTATCAGGTTTTTCAGGTCAGGCAGAAAATGAAACCATCAGGCCACTAACCAAACAACACAGGATATCCCTCAGGGACACATCAGGCCAGGCTCTTTTGGCTCAGGGCTTCAACCAAACAGCCCCGATTCGTGCCTTATACATATGTAAAATTGTAGGAACAAGTCACCAACCCGTTCCTTGCACAGGTTATATCGTGATCGATATTATAATTTTAGCATATAACCTGAATACATTGTTATTGCATTTTCTGAAACTTATTTGCACCCTTTGTTTTAAAGTTATAAGGAAAAAACTAATATTTGGCGTGTCCTCTTGTCCTAGACTCAAATGAGTATTTTCCTTAACTAACTCAAAAATTTTGAACTCATATGTAACAAAGGCCGTACTCTGTTTGGAGTCTCAGTTATATTACTTTTTTATAAGTTAATAATTTTGTAGTGTATAATTCATAACTACTAAGTATCCATTTTGGAGTCCCAGTTTTTGCTTTTCCACTACAATCCCAAAATTCGGAATTAATATGTACCTAGCTGTACATAATTTTGTGCTGCAACTATAGCTTTAGTATGATTTAATAATAATAAAATTTACGATTAATAAATATCAAGTATTATTTTTTTTGGAGTCTCAGTTTTAGCTTTCCAAAATTCGGAATCAATAACAACCGAGATCGAAATTATAGTCTAATTATAATTAGCAAATAATGAGTTGTAATATATTTGGGTTCTGAATCATTCGTTTTAACAATTTAATGTGAAAGAGGAAATTATCAAGCTGTAGGGGGAACATCTCAAAACTTGAAATACAAAGCGACGGATAATGGAGTTGCTAAGTATAGGTTGTATCGTTTCAAATGACGAACAATCTTCTTAGAAACCAATCTCGTTTGAGAAATAGAAACCAATGTTGAATAATCAACAATAAAACATTTTGATTCAGAAAAAAAATGCACCTGTGCGGAGCTGCAAGGGGTTATTTTCTATGGGCAGAAGAATTCGTTTTGAGCTCATCAAGGATGAAAAATAGTTGTTCAGGTATTTTGTAACTAGGGCAAACTATTGTCATTATTATTGTTACATAACTAATATTAAATGGTAGGAGTTACTGGTATTTGTTAGTGCATTTGGGTCCTCCAAATTGAACCGAGCAGTGAGCGTACAAATCCTCATCCCGTCCAATAGACGCCTGACGCCATTGCTCTCTATACCCTGGTCAGATTCTCTGAGTATCCAGGGCTGAACATAAACATAAGCACATTATAGTTTTGTCATGAAATAAAAGAGAAGGTTATGCATGAGACCTGAGTAATAGAGATGCTAGATAGGCTGGCATTTTAATTTTGTACGTGCACAGTGCATGATTATAACTTAAAGGAGAGGGAGTCTGGGGCTATACCCAATTGTATAATTGCTGATGCCTCTAAAGCCTATCTCTGTACATCCTGGGCTATTGCAGGGGAGCCCAAAAGCAATGAACGAAATCATTCTAAAGCAGGCAAGCTCATACAAGCTGCTGGTTTTGTTTGATCAGAAAATTATAGTAAGGTGGCCTGAGCCAGTGAGTGTTGGATGATACAAGGTTACTGTATATATTGAGCAGCAAATCTTATTTTTTTGGAGGACACACTTATTTCATATTTTTCGTCTGGTATGGACCTTTATTGATTATAGTGCAATTAATATGGCTGAAGTTATGTGCGTCAGAGTTCAGAATAAAGCTAGGAGGTTGTGATTCGTATCTGTATCTTCTTTATAGCATCAAAGTTTGAAGTTTTTAGAAGACCCTTTCATTGAAATTCTACTGCTTTGTTACTACCGGTAGTAAAACGTGCCATAAGAGCTGCCACTTAAATCATGTATGCTGGTTTGCCCTCAAATAATTACATTTCTGACACATTTATAGCAGCTGTCACTTACATGTACTGTTATTTATAATCGACGGGTGTGCCAAAAGATATGATTTTATATCTCAACTATATGTTATACACATACAATTCTTCTTTCGAAATAAATCTTTATTTCTTTTTATGCATTTCAGTAACATCTCTGGCTACTTGGTAACCAATCTTGAACTCTCTTGTCTCCAAGTATCACAACACATGAGAATCAGTCAGAATACCCTCAGCACAAGTATGTCGTGTTGAAATCATGTTCATATTGGAATGGACCCTCCCATGCACATGATGACTGCTTGGCTGGTTTGCAGGGGATATCGATGGTGCTTGTCGATGGTTTATACATCAATTTTGCATTTATGTCGTAAAATTTAGTTTGTATATGGCATCTGTGTTAGAAATAATTAATCCTATCATTAGCATGTTTACTTTGGGAGCGTATCCTATGTACACATGCCCTCGCGTGTACATACCGTGTACACCAACTAAAAATTATCACAAAAAATTCTAGGAAAATTCATACATGTACTTTCAATAGTATTACATCTACGTGCAAAGTCGCATCTTCAAATTCATTCTACATAGAGAATAACAAAAAAGATAAAATTCTGACAAAATTGCAATCTTAAAACTGTCAGATTTTTTGTTTTTTTTGTTACGGCTAAAATATAATGAATTTGACGTTAAGATTTTAACCCTAGGTGTAATACAATTGAAAGTATATGTATGATTTTTTCTAGATTTTTTGGTGATATTTTTTAGTTGGTGTGCACCTGTGTACACGTGAGGACCTGTGTGTATAGGATATGTTACCGTTTACTTTAGTCGCATGTAGCAAATAAATGTATAGGTAGCAGGATATGGTACCCGAAGAAGCTTACGCGAGATGCGTACGCGAGTATGGCCGAGGAGCCGTTCGAGACGGCCGGATACGTGAGATGCTACGGGAGCACGTCGTGCGCCATGACTTCACGAAGTGGCCGAGATGACTGGGTCTTTCGTTGGTGGCGTGGAAACGCAGCATGCATCATGGATAGATGTACGTTCTGGTTGTTAGCCTGCATGTAGATCGATGTACATGCAGCCTCTTGCATTGAGGTAGATCGTGGTGTGAGTGGGTCTTGCTGAAGTGCTCGCTTGTGTGTGTATATATATATACTAACAAAATGCCCGTGCGTTACACCGGATAATGATATGGTGACTGAAATTTGATTTGAACTATTTATATGAAGAAAATAATTTGTAATTTAATGAAATATAAAATTTTCTGCAATATTAATTACACAATTTTAAATTATAGCAAAAGTGGTCTTGCGTTGCAACGAAAAGAAAAAACAGATAAAATTGAATTAAAACATATTAAATTCTAATTAAATGAAATATAAATTCTCTGAAATATTTGGGTATTTCTTAAGTAGGTAGGTATATAATTAAATTAATTTATAAGTAAAGGAAGTGTAAGAAATAAAATGTTATGGTTGGATTTAGCTTTTATTAAATTTTCTATATTAATTACACTCATTGAAATTTTCTTGGAATTTACATAGCTTAATTGCTAATTTTGATAATACAAATATCATTTCAGCATTTATTGAAATTAAAATCTAAATAAAAATCATTTTTTCTCTAAGGGCCTTTTTCAGCCCATTTTCTTCTTCAGCCCGCAAGAGATCAAAGTCTACTTAATACCCCCATACTCCTCCTCTCACTTAGTGGACCGCCAGCCCACGTGCGGCCCAAACCCTCGATCAATCTCAGCCGTTCGTTTTGATGGACGGCTCAGATAAGTTTAAAATTGATGAAAACCCTAACCCTAACCCTCACCCTCCCCCCAGCCGAGCCAAGCCGGCCGCCTCCTCCTCCCCCACCCCCGACGCGGCCTCTCCCCTTCCCCCTCTCCCCCTCCCCACCGGCGCCTCTCCCCCTCCCCCCAGCCGGCCGACTCCCCCGCCACCGGCGCCGTCTCTCCCACCACCGGCGTCGTCCCTCCCTTCTCGCCGGCATGGCGCGGCGACGGCGGGGTGAGACGGGGTGTGGCGGCGGCGCTGCCCTTCCCCCACGGCGAGTGGCGACGGCGGCGCCTCCCCCGCACCGAGCAGCGGCAGCGGCGGCGATGCGCCCTCCCCCCAGCGAGCAGTGGCGGCGGCGGCGCCCTCCCACCCCCCCCCCACCCTCTCCACTTCTACCCCTTTCTCTCTGTGTGGCGGCGCCGGGAGGGCCGGCGACGCTCTCCCCTCCGCTAGATCAGGGGGAGGGGATGTGCGGCGGCGGTGGTCCCGGCAGAGCGGGAGGGGTGGCGGCCCGGACGGCGTGGAGGCGGGGCGTCGGCTGTCGCCGATTATTTTTTTTTGTAATTTTTTTCTATGGCTATTGCTAACCGAATCAGATTGTTTATGGACGAAAAAGGGACGAAAATTAGATGTGACGACCGGAAAAATACGAATATTTATATTAGTTATAGATGTACTGCATCAGTTAAATTTAGTTTTAACAAGAGAAAAAGAGGCGTGAGCTGTGATAGTTGCGTCGCCAAATATTGCCTCTCCTGTGTTGTCTTGGTCTTTGTGTGTGTCTATCAAAACAGCTCGATCAAGTGTTTGTGATAGAGATTAGCACCAGAGAGAGGGAGTGATTCCCAACAATCTGCATATAACAATGCAAAATTAAGAACACATCGGATGCATCAGAGGTAGAGAAATAACAGTAATAGTAGTTGATGTAATATACTTGTCATAAGAAACCAATTTTCAGATATGGTAGTCAAAACATTTTGTCAAGTAACTTTTCAGTGTGTGCAGATGAAGAATATGCAAAATTTCTTGTGTGTTAGTTAAAGCTCTTTAGCTCTCAGTTGAGTTTCCTCCAATCTCAGCACGTACCTACGATGGGATAGGCACCATGAGACACGCCAAAGCCAAAGAGAAAGTAGAAACTCTGACCTACTCCACACGGTAATAGACCCGTGTACTATTCCCTAAATTCCTGGTATCTCCCAATCCAATATACCATCTCTTGTCGATTAGTTACCCATGGGACACAAAAAACTGTAGAATTGTTTTTCACAAAGTCGCACAACGATTTCCGTTGACAGGGCCTAATATATACTCCCTCCTTCCCCAAATGTTTAACGCCGTTGACTTTTTTAAACATGTTTGACCGTTCGTCTTATTCAAAAACTTTTGTGAAATATGTAAAACTATATATACGTAAAAGTATTTTTAACGATGAATCAAATGATAGGAAAAGAATTAATAATTACTTAAATTTGTTGAATAAGACGAACGATCAAACATATTTAAAAAAGTTAACGGCATCAAACATTTAGGGATGGAGGGAGTATTTGTTTTGCCGTAGGTTCCTGTAGCTGTGAAGGCCACCTATAGGCTAGAGCTTACAATGCTAGCATATATAGAGGCCTAAAATTGTGCGGTTATGTTTATATGTTGATGAGGATACTAGGTCCCCATCTTCCGATATATTGATACTGATAACTCTCGATTTGATGGAAACTTTACACACGATCCGGTTTTTGATCAACACGATCTAAACCCTGCAATCGCAGCATCACATCTCCTCTAATTATCAACTGTGTCAAAATCCGGTTGACCTCGCCGAGAAGGCTAATTACTGCATGCGAATCAAAGAACACAAGCAAGACCGAGGTATATAGCAATTCAATTGCATATGAATAATTAAGCACATGAATTTGGTGTTTCATAAACTGAACAAGCGGCGAAACTGCGATGACAGAAATAATCTAAGCAAAACACGATTCTAAACTATGACGGTTACTGAATAAATAGGATTTAGGACGTCCTAGGGTTGCCCTTGGGCACGCACCTTCTTGGGCTTAGCCACGACACAATTACAAAGCTCAAGACCCAAATCATATTCGGAATGGACAAGGTACGTAACTTGTTTTGCATAGTTCCGTCAGCTTGGTGGGAATTTCGACGCGGGACCAAAACCATCTGGAAGTAGACTATATAAGATTTTCAACAAGTATACTCATGGGCCCCAAAATTCCTTTTGTATTAACGGCTAGGTCCATTTGAAGTTGATGCAGCTAGGAGGCCTGAATCCGAATGGTGTTCTATGGACCAAAAGTGACGTGGTGAGGTAGAAGTGGACTTGGAGAAGGTATGGTTTGTTCCCCAATCATCTTCGTTGATCATCCATGCATTCCTTACGGTCGATCTCTTTTCCTTCACCCAATCAAGTACCTCTGCAAACGAAAACACACGAAATTCATTGTGTAGCAACGTTTGTTTAAATATATAACAAGTAAGTTTAATATAGAACATATGCACCTTTCGTTGATGAATACGTAAAGTGGTCATGGTTATATCCGAGCTAGTTATGTCCTCATCAGATGTGCATCATATTATGTTTAAAAGAATCGACAAAATTATGTATGAAACAAAAGATGTAAATATTTGGATTTCATTACTGATCAATGATACATTTTTGGGCATCACTACTACAAAAATAATTTTATTGGATGAGACCCTCGTTTGGTTGCAAATGGACCATAACTAACCACGTCTGTAAAAATTGACTTCCATTTTCGCACACGGCTCCTTAAAAGACACATTGGAAAAATAGATTTTTGCATACTGGTCTCTTAAAGGCCCACCTGAAAGTCTAATCGTCCTCCTCTTTCCCTCTCAACGTATCAAACAAATTTGACTTATCTCTTTCCCCATCTTTGTCTCCCTTATCTTCTCCTCACTTCCTCTCTTCCTCTCATTCTCACCTCCACTCATCCTCACTTATGGCGATAATGGGGGCGGCGACAACGGCTGCACGATGGCGCATAGGGAGCAGCGGCAGCGGGCTGCAGGCTCGAGAGAGGCCAGGGCTTGCCGGGAGCTGCTCGGCGGGTCGGTAGCGCCAGCGGTCGACGACGATAGGCTCGGGGAGCAGCGTGGCTGCAAGGGGTGGCAAGGCAGTGGTGGGCGTTGCAGCGAGCGGCTAGGCAGACGGTGGCGGCCTAATCTGCCGCCACTGGAAAAATAGATTTTTGCATACTGGTCTCTTAAAGGCCCACCTGAAAGTCTACTCGTCCTCCTCTTTCCCTCTCAACGTATCAAACAAATTTGACTTATCTCTTCTCCATCTTTGTCTCCCTTATCTTCTCCTCACTTCCTCTCTTCCTCTCATTCTCACCTCCACTCATCCTCACTTATGGCGATAATGGGGGTGGCGACAATGGCTGCGCGATGGCGCATAGGGAGCAGCGGCAGCGGGCTGCAGGCTCGAGAGAGGCCAGGGCTTGCCGGGAGCTGCTTGGCGGGTCGGTAGCGCCAGCGGTCGACGACGATAGGCTCGGGGAGCAGCGTGGCTGCAAGGGGTGGCAAGGCAGTGGTGGGCGTTGCAGCGAGCGGCTAGGCAGACGGTGGCGGCCTAATCTGCCGCCACTGGGCCCTTAATGGCCGGATCCGCGGGCACCGGCCCCGTGATGGCCGGCGGTGGACGGCGGCAACCAGATCCGCCTCCGTCGGCCCCGCGGCAGCCGATTCCACCGCCACCGAGCTCGCGACGAGCTGATCCGTGGGCATCGGCCCCACGATGGCTCGATCCGCCGGCACCGACGGCTAGGAGTCCAATGTTTTTTTTATATTTTTTTGGATTTCCATTATATGTGCAGACGACATAAGCACCGAGTGTGCTACCCGTATGTAAAAATCGGATTTTCGCAAACTATTTGGGACAAACTGGCCGTCCTTCCGTACGCGAAAATATGTTTTGGGGCCTTCTGTAAAAAATCATTTTTTTTACTAGTGTATGGAAGAAGCAGCATCATAGGGCATATTATCATATATTTATACTTTAGAGTAATTATTTAGACCCCATGTCAAATCTTTTTAGTTTTGCAGTGTCCACACCGCGATGATAACGTTTGTGCTGCACTGTACGTGTAGTGCTGCTAACATTTTTCCATGAGCAGAAGATTTTGTTTTGTGTTTGAGGATGAAACAAAGTTGTTCAGGTGTTTATACTAAGGACGAGCTATTGCCATTTTTTTTACATAAGTAATATTAAATGGCAGGTAATTAAATGTATTTGTTAATGCATTAGGCTGAACTAAGACAAGTTCAAAGTACATCGAAGGAAGTGAAACCCTCTAAATTGAACCGAGCTAGCACTCAGGAGATCCACTACTGTAGACGCCGAACATCATCTGGTCCAATCGACGCCTGAGGCCATTGTTCAGGGAATCAGGGCTGAGCACAAACATGAGCACGGTGTAGTTCTGGACATGATATAAAGGAGAAGGTTATGAGCCTGATATGTTATCTATGTTGGCTTTTGAATTATGTGCATGCACAGTGATTTATAACGTAATGGAATAGTCCGGGAGTATACTGCATAGTAGAATTGCAGATGCCTCTAAAGCCTATCTCTGTACAGCTTCTTGGCAATTGCAGGGAAACTCGTTAGGAATGAACGAAATCAGACTGAGGCAAGCAAGCTCATGCATGATGCTGGCATGAGTAATAGGTAGTAGGGCGCAGCTTAGGGAGCTTGGTTAAGGGGATGAGAAAACAGAGAAAGGTAGATGAGATTGATAGATTGAATCCGCTTGATATTTATTCAGGTAGCCCGCGCATTCGCGCGGGCATGCATATTATTTTGTTTCAGAAATAGTTCTAACAAAATAAGTTGAAATTAAAGTAAGGTATTTTTCATTTTTAATTGAATTTTCATTGTTTACTTTTTCCTTAAGAAGTCTCGAGAAAGTTTTCATCGCTCGTAAGTTTATTTTTTTTACCATCCTGCTAGCCCTCTTTTTAATTAATCAAATATACATATCTTATATAGCGCTTCTTTTTAATATGTGAGGCCCTACGGTATTGTAAGAAAAAGACCTAGTCAACATGAATCTTAAAATAATAATTTATTAGGAAAAAAATATAACTTTTAATCATATTATTATAAAAAGGCTACTTATTTTGTATTGTCACCTTAGCGGCTTATACATGCAAATTGTGGAGAAACACATGGAGCTACTTTAATGTTTAATATGAAAGGAAAAAAATTGAAAGAATAAATATCATTATGACGTAAAATGAGCTATATTTTTCTATAACGAAAAGAGTAGATTTATTCAATACTATCTTACTGGTTAAGCGCTCCACTAAAATAGTTTTATGTGTAAAAGTTTCAATACTATATTGCGGTTTAAGCACTCCACTAAAATAGTTCTATGTAAAAGGATTGTAAAAAATATTTTCAAAGATGACCCATGAGTCTGAGTCAAGAGGCTCACCACATAGGAGGCTGCACATTTGAGCCACATGTGAAAAGATGCTCGCAAAAATTATTTGTGCAGTTGTGATTAAAATAATTATACATGTGTGAAAATAATGGTACTTATGCCTATATTATTGTTAACCAACAATTGATAGATCCTGATAGTTCTTTTTGGTATCTAGTAAAATTGGCTAGATATTTTACAACTTATTATTGTATCCAATTGCTAAGATGCACCTGCTAATTTTTTTCTATATGCTGCATTTTTAATGGGTGCCTTGGTGCATGTGACACTATATATATTCCAAATAAAGATGTCTAGTGTAGTTCAAACTGATTTCGGACTGTGGGAAACAACTCATTGTTTCGTGCAGAGTGTGTGAGACCTCACATAGCCTACGAATATAATTTTATAAATAAACATAACTCCGCAGGCGTGATTATTATTGTAGTGTGGACTTTTCATGAGTGTCATCATGATTTAAATATTTTTACTCCAAACAATTACTCTTTGTAACTTTTTTTAGCTAACGTGCATTAGGCATTTAGCATTACACATATGTGTAAAGTGTTACACTTGAATTCATTATATTTAAGTCATAACAAAAATTCTGATGGTCTTAAGAGTATAAATGTCTTTTTCTTGCTCTAATATGTGTGTGTGTATGTGTGTTAGTTGGTTTACACGGTGTGTTCACGCAGGTTGTGCATAATCTTCAATGTGAAGCCTGCAATACCTACCCTATTTTATTTTCTTTGTTTGAAAGAATTAGGAATTTAAACTATCGTGGTAGTTTATCATGTCCATTGCTAGAAGATGGCCTACAAGCATTTGTAGAGGTATACTGAAAATAAAAGTTTTATTCATGATGACGTGGATAAATCTCAAACTTTTATTTTCATATCATGTGATAATTTTTAGAGTTGCAGTATATGTGGTTTATACTACATATTTTTCCTCCTAATTAAACCTCTGTTTATATGCATCACGCTGCCATCAGTCCCGGCAGTGCACACGTAAAATCGGATTACTTGAACTTGCTGGAAAACAAATTCACCCCAAGTTGTTTGTTGCTTATATATGGTATTATATGTCTATGGCATGTTTTAGGAGTATGCTCCAGCTTATATCAATCATTGGTTTGTTCTAGGCAATGAACAATTTAGCACAGTAGAATATGAATGGGACAAATCCATCTTCATAAAGTTGAAGATGTGTTGTACACAATATAAAGTTGTAGCTCATTAGAGAAACTTGACACGGTGATGGTGATCTCCTGCAACCGCCGCAAGTCCATCGTAGATTTTTTTTTCTTTTTCTTTTAGTTTTGAGGCTCTGGTTAATCATTTCAATCTAATCTAACGGTTGAGGTCCTGGCTGCTCTCTTTCGATAAGATAAATCCAATAGTCTAAAATAACGGATCATCAATTCAAGTGAAAATCAAGGATGAGATGTTTTTCCTTTTATCATAATTTATATAAATTTTTAATTTATTAGAGCATCGTATGATGTCTTAGGAGTGTATATAGGATGCCATGTGATGGTTTAGAAGTGTTTGTAAAAAGTTTAATAGACGTTTATATAAATTTGTATGTTTGTGCAACTATATTATCTCCCCTCTACTAAATTTACAACAATAACGAAAAATGTACAAGTGTGTTTGTAGAACATTTTTCACTGTGGATATAACGTTATCACATTAAACTTGTTTATGTAATTAACGAAATAATTTGTCATGACATTACATAGGGGCGCAGAGTGAGATTCGAATGATTTTTTTTTAAAAAAGATATATCTAACAACCTAAAACCGATTTAAGTAGAAAATCAAAGGTCGAATATTTTTTTTGGATTTTCTCTAATTTAAGAGTGCCAGGTAGTTATTATTTAGAAATATTTGTATGATGTTTCGTGCACTATAAAGAGAGTACAGAGCAAGAGCTTGCTCCATCTAGAAGGTTGAAGTCTATCTATGGATATTTTTAGGCCCATAAAGAAAAATAATAATAATTTTAGTTATCATGGAAATAAAAAAAGAAAGGAACGAAGGAAGGGTAGGTTAGGTATATGCGTGAGAACACAGCACAAAGGTATGGACAGAGGTAGATTCTTCTTAAGATAGATCTCACGATTTAAAATAATGGGTTCATTGATTTAAATGAAAATCGACGGTCGAATTTCTTTGTTTTATTACAGTGCCACATGACGACTCGAAAGTGTTTATAGGGTGCCACATGGCGGCTTAGGAGTAGAAAGTTTAATGGTCTATAATTATGATCATCAAGGTATCTATAAGCAATACATATGTACATACATAAATATTGCTAAGATAAATGTAACAGTAGAAAATAATTGGTCGACCATATTTAAGTGGAAATCGATGGTTTTTTGTTTTTTTCTTCATAATTTATATGATTTTCTCTAATTTATTGGAGTGTGACTTGGTGGCTTGGGAGCTTATTATTTAGTTGTCGGTTTTAGTTGTCGGTTATTAAAATACAAAGGAAGTAATTATTAAGACTATAGTTCCACATAACTTTTTTAATTAAAATGTAGGTAATATGGATGTTATATTTTTTATAATTAAGATACGTCATATACTTTATAAAATTTTAAATAGTGAACAACTAAAGAAAATAAAAAGGTAAGGATTGATCGCTTCTTTTCCAACCGTGGGTGCAAACGTGCATACATAATTTCTTTTTTTTATTTTTTTCCAATGAGTAGTTTTTTTATTTGGTTTCCTTTAGCAAATAGTCTGTAGGTAGTTTCCTTAGGCACGTTTGTACGCACGTGCAGGGACGCTTGGGTTGTGGGTCCATGGGGATATGAGAGGGAGATGGAAAAAACAAATCTAATATAGTAATTAAAAATAGTGGGTCCAGTTGTTTATTAAGTGACACGTGGTGTTTTAGGAGTATTTGTAAGACTCCCACGTGGCTGTTTAGGAGCGTTTGTAGGAAGTTTTATGGATTTTTAGTATTTAATAGATAGATAGATAGATAGATAGATAGATTTTTAAGATTTTTATAATGTGACAGGCCGTGACTTAATTGCGCTATATAGGACGTTTAATGGATAATGTTTTAAGACAACTTAATACATATTATCAATTTTTGAATGTTGCATTGCTGTTTGGTTGTAGATCTATATTCAATTGACATATTTCATTTTTTTATATAATAAAATATGAGTAATATAGATCTTGATTTTCTCATTTAACTGTAAATAAAATAACAGTTCAAATAAATTAAATAAGTGTAATATAAAGCTTAATTTATTTAGCCATCTAATTATAAAACGACAGTCCAAATAGTCCAAATAGTTATGATTATGATTAATTTGCTACCTAACTTATTGTTTTTCCATTAAATTCTTAGTTACAAAATAGAAGAGAATACATGATACGGAAGGAGTGGAGAGAAGAGCGTTCATACGTACATGATATAGTATATATAGATCTATATGCGCACGTACAGTTTGTTTTCCTAAAATAAATTAGTTGGCTTACCTATTTAAGTTATCTATATATCTAATGGCTTAAAATAACAGGTTCACGATTTAAGTCAAAATCAAGGGTCGATATTTAGAGTGCCACATGGCATAGAGTGTTTGTAGGATGTCCACGTGGCAGCTTGAGAGCGTTTGAATAGATAGATGTTGCATATATATATATATATAGGCTTACATAGTAAACAGAATGGCTAAATTAAAGGAATAACAACTAATGCAACAAACTCAAGACTAATCCTAAATTCTATATTCAATCCGGGTACTGTAGGTGCTGCCACTGTTGTCGCGCGCTTCTATTCCCGCGTGTTCCCCCTTCCTCTGATTCCAATGATACACAGTTTTGACCCAAGCATATATCCAATCCTCCGGAAGCAGCTTGTCTTCGAGTTGGAACGCCGGGTACCGACGGCGGAACTCCACGTTGTTCTCCCAAGTTGCATCCGCCGCAGGTTTTCCATCACACTAAATCAGCAGTTCCCGAGCACCTAGGGCCACACGACCACGGATATGCTTTGGCCGGCACCAGTAACACAAGACCATCGGTGATTGCTAGCAAGGCCATAGTGGACGCCAGTGGTGCACCATGGAACGACTTTGACACAACAACGATGAACACGCTGTGAATGCGTGCGCCGGCTGGAGCTGAAGACGACATGCTACATCGCTGATGTCAGGCAATACTTTGTAGGGTCCGTTGAAACGTGGTGATAGCTTGCCGCGGCTGAACCCTGGTACAGAAGGCAAACCCACACACAATCGCCCACGCTGAAGACCATGTCGCGATGACTGTCGTTACAGTATAGCTTTGAGTAGTCCCGAGCTTGGAGGAGACGTTCCTGGATTTCCGCAAGAAAGATATTTCGTTCTGCCAAGCTGCGTTATCATAGCAACATAGGGTGGGTGGTGGCCATCCATAGACGACTTGGAATGGGTTGGACCGGAGTGAGGACCTATATGCAGAATTGAAGCAAATCTCCTCCCATGGAAACCAACGAAGCCAATGATGTGGGCGGTCGCCTATCAAACACCAGAGATACACCCCGATGACGTGGTTAGCTGCCTCCAATTGGCCGCCGCTCTGGGGGTGAAAGGCTGAGCTGAGATTCAGCTTTACCCTTGCCAAGTGAAAGAGCTCTGGCCAGAACATGCTCCTGGTCACCGGATCGTGGGCAACGACGATTGAATTGGGGATGTAATGTAGCCTGACCACCTCGATAAAGAACGCCTGCGCCACCGATATCATTGTGTATGGGTAGCCCAACGGAATGAAGTGGACGTATTTCGACAGTAGATTGACGATGGTGAGGATGACTGATTTGCCGCGGACAGACGGTAATCCCTTGACAAAGTCCATCGTGATATCGTCCTATACCTGAGTCGGGACGACCGACAGGTTTGAGGTGCTCAGTCTTATTGTGTTGGCAAGAGTATGATGAATGTGAGCGCCATGCTTATATTTAAGACAACACACACTTTGCTAATATGGTAGCATTTTTAGTATTTGAAACATTCTTAAAAAATACAAGTGATCAATGTTTGAAAATGAATATTGTCTCGTACGAGAAATTTGAAAACGGAAGGAGTCTTCTATTTCTTTGTGTTGCATTGTAGGAGTAATTATTCAAAACCCATGTCAAAACTTTTTAGTTTTGTATTGGCTGCAATGATAATGCTTATTTTGCATTGGCTGCAATGAAAATAGCTTTTTGTTTTAGATTGAGGATGTGTAAAAGTACTTGCATGATTTACAATTATTTCGAGTTATTGTCATTATTATTTTTTTTAACCAACATGAAATGAAAAAAGAATATAATTATATTTGTCAATACTGTTCATCGAACTGAAGATAAGTATAATGTACTGTGGAGAAACAACGCAGAGAGACCCTCTAAATCCTGCTGAGAAGGGACTGTACTTCCATTGCTGTAGGCAGAAGAACTCATTTAGCCTTTTCAACTCCTGAGGCCATTGTTTTCTGTACCCCAGTTATACCCTCCATTTCTTCAGGGCTGAACAAAAAGATAAGCATAGAGTAGTTTTGGTTATGATACACCAGAAAAAATAGGATACATACACAGACATTCTGAAGTCATCTGCAATAGACATGCTAACTTGGCTGGCATTTTAATTATGCACATGGACGATGATTATGACTTAAATGAAGGGCCAGGGCCAATACCGCATAGTAGAATTGCTGATGGCTCTAAAGCCTATCTCAGTACCTCATTGGGCAATTGCGCCTGAACCCATAATCCACCAAGGAAACCAGACTGGTGCAGAGGCCAACTCTTGCATGGTGCTGGTTTTGTTAGATCACAGTAGGTGTTGGTAACTTGGTATTAATATGATGTGGGTAAGGAAGTGTTGGATGATATCTGGTTCCTCTATATATTGAGAATGTCACAGTGCAATAGTGCTGAAAAATATGAGCATCAGATTTCAGAGTAAAGTGATGAAGTTCTTATTATTTATATATTTTTTTAGAATCAATGTTTGAGAGGAAAAAAAATCAATCCTCTGAAATTCTACTACTCTATTTCCGCCATTGTATAACGTATCATAAAGAAAAACGCGCGCCCTGATTGGCTTGTTCCTAAATAATTACATTGCGGGCACCTTATTTTTAGCAGCTGTGACTTAAATACATGTATTGTTAGCCATAATACATGTTATCTGTTCCATAGATCACTGGTGGAGAAACCCTTTGTAGTCCCGGTTCGTAACCCCCCTTTAGTCCCGGTTTCCAAACCGGGAGTACCAATCCGGGACTAAAGATCGCTATCTTTAGTCCCGGGTGAAATAACCGGGACTAAAGATCGAGCTGACCTTTTTTTTTTTTTGCATGGCCCTGTTGCTGCATGGTTTATATATATGTTTCAATACATATATATGCATACATATATATATATATGTATATATATATATATTATATTATATTATATGTATATACATGCATAATATATATGTATTTATACATATATATGTTATGCAAATGCATATGTATATAGATATATATATATGACCAAAATATATTTACATTATAGAAAATGTGTACACATGCATATAGAAACATATGTAGTCATGTATTAATTACAATCTATTATATGTCCTAGCTAGCTATGATTTCGACGTAGTAGTAGTCGCTGCTAGCTCAGAAGCTAAGGACCGGTGAATTGTGTTTCCGTCGTAGTAGAATTCACCCTTGGGATCAAGGATTTCTTCGTTGATGAATCCCATGAGTTGTTCTTCAACCGCCGCGATAAATTCCTTGTGTGTGGTCAGGTTATCCCTCATGCGAATAAACTATATGAATGTATGAAATTGATTAGTAATTAAACAAGAAATCGCTACGTAATAAAATTTTGAATTTATTTGTACGTACATCGAGCTCTCTTGTGGTGATGATTTGGTCTGCAAGGCAGTGGCAATACTCGCACACGTAATAGCCGCACAAGTTAGTTCCCTGCTTTTGCTTTGCGCACTACAAATAAATGACAAACAACGAGAGATCTAATTAATATACACTTGTATGTATTTGAATCGGAGAAATATAAATGTAGAGCATGTGTACTCACAGGAAATTTGAACTTCCGCCTAAGTCTTTCTCTCCATTTGCCGCGGACCAAATGACGGAACCGATACCAAGCCCTACATGGAGTTTAAAGCTATGATTCGTAGTAGCAATTAACATAACAATATTTTCTTAATTAACAGAGGAACTTATGACGGTACCTGTCTATAAGTTCGAAAACCTTGTCAAACGTAGACTCTTTTTTATCCATTGAGTCATATACGTTGACGGTGCAGGCCTCCAGGTCGAAGAGTAAAAGCACCCAGTGGAATCTGCAATGTGCGTGGGATGCATTACATATGAAACACTTAGCAAGTTCGTACGGGAATGAAATTTGGTATGTAGGAAGATAGTAAAATTAAACTAACTCTGTGTTGTATGGCAACAGTATGAACGTCTTGTAATGCTGCGCCTTCAAGAGATGGACGAGATTGTCCTCTGTTTCTTGTGGATATTGGTCGAGCATTGCGACGTTTACTTTCCGAGGGTCGATGAATCCAGTATCGAAAACCCTCCGCCGTCGGGCCCTTTGAATCTCCATTCTACAACGATAAAAGGGAGTATATTATTTTCTATAGTCTACTTATATACAAGGACCTAATTAATTAAAGGAGACATATAGTAAGAAATCTAACTGAACGATATACTTACAAAATCCAGCAACTCATAATAGAGACGTCGAGGGCGTCCAGCTGGTATAGTTCGTAGATTCCCCTGAAATTGATCCAGAGAATGTCATCTCCTTGCAAGAAGTCCGTGTCCCTGATCCTCGCTCCGATCATCTCTCTACCGGTGGCGCTCATCTCCATGTACAGCTGACGGAACTTGTACATTTGTGTGGGTAGGGACTGCAGTAGCTCAGGCTTGACAAGCGGTTTACCGAGTTCGTACATGTATTTCACTTCCGCCTTTTCGATTGGTGCGACTCCTAGCAATTGATACGTAGTTAGACCGGTGTCAGTAATAAATTGTTCTATCGTCATTTCTTTACCGGTCACCAATGGCTCGATCTCCTGGTTTGGTTGCTCTCCAAGTTGAGGGACTGGTTTGGACTTTCCAGAAGATGCTTTCTTTAGCGTTCGCTCATAGTCCGATAGCTTGATGGCCTCCTTGGCAGATGCAGACATACCCCTGAAGAAGTTCCTGACACTGGGGTCTATAGGAATCTTCTTTTCTGGACTTCGAGGCTTGAATTGTCTCTTGACTTCTGATGCAACGTAAGCGTCAAGCTCCTCTTGCATGCAATCGTACCCTGGGTCCTTGTTCTTGGCGGCGTCAACTTTCGCCTTCTTCGTTGCCCTTGTGTGGGCAGGCGGTGGAGCTGGGGGGGCCCTTGACTTTGAAGGTGCCGGAAGAGGAGCTTGCGGGGGAGTAGGTGTAGGAGCACGAGGAGGAGTCGGTGCAGGATCCTGAGGAGGAGTCGATGCTGGAGCCTGAGGTGGAGACGGTGCTGGTGGAGCATGAGGAGGAGACGGTGCAGGATCCTGAGGAGGAGATGGCGGAGCCGGAGGAGATGGTGCACAAGACGCCGCTTGTCGCCCAGGGAGGATGATGTACCGCCTGCGCCATAGAATAATGGCATGGCATGTGTCTCGTAGATGCGTCTCACCGTCTCCTCCAGGGTAATCCAGCTCGAGGTCCTCGTACGCGCCTTCGACCAACTCAACTTCGACCTTCGAGTATCCTGCTGGAATCGGCCTGCAGTGGTAAGTACCTGAAGGGTCCGTTGGGATGGCCATGCCCGACGCCACCTTCATGTTGTGAGAGATTATTTATTAGTAATCAACATATATAAGCAGCAACTAGCGGAATTGCTAAATCTTACCTTTATTGATAAGTTCTTGAAAGGAATATGCAGCTCACATGGTGTCCGCTGAGTGATGTCATCAACGGGACAGGTCGATTCGTCCTGTGTTTGCATGGCGTCCATGCTCTGTGATCCTACCTGCCCCGTTGAGGCGCAGCTGTCACGCCCGGAATTTCTATCCAAAATTCCAAACGCTTACATGTGTGTGAACCCTCGTCCAGGAATCAGCCGAGGCACACAATAACAAATTGATAATAGAGTACAATTATTACTCTAATTAATAAGCGAATAAAATGTCATTATAGAGGTAGATAGTTCCTCTCAATCAATAAAGATCTAAGCAGCGGAAAATAAAATAAACGGCGCAGACGGCTGCACTCCACAGGCAGCTAGACCAAGGCTACACCTAATCCTCCACACCATCAGCATCATTGTAGAACTCTTCCTCTGATGAATGATTGCAAGGTGAGTATATGACATACTCAGCAAGCCACGCAGCAAATATGCAAGTGCACAGGATAACAAAGGATGGCATAGTAGGGTTCCCTTTTGCAAAAGCAGCATTTAACAAACATTTGAGAATTTAATAAAACAGTTAAGTAATAATTAAACAATATTAAATCAACGCTATACAACATACCCTGTTGTATAGGCCCAACCATTCTGAACAACCATCCCGGCTGCACAGTTCTATCTCCAAACTAGGAATGTACCATTCCAAACCAGGAGCTAATCAAATTATTACCAGTTATAGCATCATTTACTATGGTGAGAAGTGTGAGACTAATCACGAAAGACATTGTTAGACCCGCCCATAACCGCGGGCACGGCTATTCGAATAGTTTTACTCTGATCAGAGGTGTACCACTGTACCCACAAGACACAACCCCACATCATGTCACCATGTGCCTCAATACCACCACGGTACCTCGGAAAGGAGTTGTGACAATACCCCTTGCACAACACAATCCACCGCAGCGCACCTTTCCTGGATCATAATCACCCCCTTATAAACAAGGCATGAACTCCCTAGCGACCCCCGTGGGCTTATCTCCGCCACTTCTCAGTCTGGTGCCCCGCAATGAACCATGCTATACAAAAGATAAAGCCGTTGCCCACGCTGGCTTGTGGTTGGCACGGTTAATGTTTCACAACCGAAACTCGTGAACCGGTCCTTAATTGTCATGAGCACGACCATCAAAACCATGTGCTCACAACCCACCATTATCAGGTTTTAGTTGGCACATTAATTAATTAACCAATCACGATTGACCATCGTGAACTATCATTAAGCCATCATTAAATAATAGTGAATCATAAGTTATCCCAAAAGTGAGCTAATGTTTCTAAGCAGGGCTAAGCAATTATGTCTAATATCTAGTTGAACCAATATAAATAAAGCTCAACTAGTCAAATTATAATAACCCAAGGTATCAAGGAATAAAGTAATCAAGAACAAAAGGGCTATAGCAAACAATAGGTTAATTCCACCCAATGACATTCGAAAATAGATGCAATAGTTGAATAGAAACAATAGCTTTAAATAGGATCAACATGCTCAAAGGGTTGTTTGGGATCTGTGTGACTTGCCTTGCTGGCCTTGGAACTCCTCAAACTCTTCTCCGACGAAAACGGACTCTCCGGAAACGACGGAATCTAAGCAGAAAAGAGCAAAATCACCAAAACAGCACATAAACAAGCATGAACAGTACATGTGGATATTTTTAACATGTAGATCTCAATTTTAGAAAAATTTAGAGACTTGAACCAACTAAATCCGAGATAAGATGAATTAGTTATGAATTTTTGAAGATTAAATCGGATTAAAACACTTATATTGATTTTAATTGAATTATGACGCAATAATGAATTATTTTTGAAAAGGAAAAAGGGGTTTATTGCGTCAGCAGCTAGGGTTTCGGTGGACCGGGCGCACGGGCGACGGTTCACGCGAACGGACGGCCGAGATCGATCCATCCAAAACGGACGGCCGAGATCGATCGGTCTACGACCGGCTCACGGGAGAGGGCGACGATGACGTCAGCGATGACGTCACCACCGGCGGCAGCGGCTCGGCGGCTCGGGCTTGCATGCTCGCCGGCGAACGACGGCACGGCGGCGCGAACGGAAGGCACCAACGGGTAGAGCGCGACGCGGCGAACTCACCGGTGACCAAAAGAGCGGCGGAAGATCAACGGACGGCGACGGCG